CCCTGTATAGGGTTTCCCAGGAGCAGCTGGTGAGCTTGAACCACCAACCTTGCAGTGCAAACGACTTTGCAGTCTGACGCATTAACCCACAGCACCACACCAGGACTCCTTCCATAAAGATTACAGTTGTGGAAACCTTAGGGAGCAGACTGCTATGGTCTACAGGGAGCTGTGAGTTGAATCAAACTCAGCAGCAATGGTTTAAACCTGATCATTGTCCACTATACACAGAGGGAAGTTTTTAAATGTTTGTAAATATTATACATAACTAAAAATGAATAAAATCAGCAAGAAAGGTGATCTCCACTGAATTCTTCTAAAATAAACTTTGATTTACGTGTCTCTGTCTCCACCATATCCACCGTCGCTAATTCAGAAGGCAATTATCCCTATGAAACATGTTCCCGTTTGACTTCAAGGTCTTTTTATTAGCTCCTGAAGTGAGTATGACCATAAAAACAAAGGGAAAGCTTACTTTAGTCTATTCACTTAATTTGCAGAGCTAATAAAAGGTACATCAAGAAAGAACTTTGAAACAAATGTCTTATTTAGGGTTCTGTGGATGGTTTTTGTTTAATGTGTGTATTTTCATCATATGGTTCCGTGACAGATTCAGGGTTCTGAGTGGACATTGTTGCTGTCTCCACCATGATACCCCCTCCCCAACCAAGTCATTTCTGCACCATCTTAGATTTTCCAAACCTCATCCATTGCTTGTTCCAGCACTGTGTAAATTCTGACAACTCAAGGAAGGAGCAGCCTTCCTCTACTACAAGTCATTCATCAGCTCAAACTTCCTGCCTTGTTAGGCACCTCTTCTCCACTCCCAGCCTCCAATACTCCAAGACCACCATTTTCATCCCCCCACTCACTCCTGAAGTGCAGGAGACTTTTATATCTCAGGATTTCTTTTGATAAATCAGAAACTGGAATCAAGGAATACATTTGTCCACCTGACCCTCTACCTTCAACTTGAATATAGTCCCTTCTAGACTCAACCTTGCAAGATGAGTCATTCAAATACACCAGCAACTTCTCAGGAACCTTTTGAAGCATCACTATGAGTCGGAACCAGCTTATCAGCACCTAGAAACAACAAATTTAAGCAAGTCCCTTCTATTTCAAGTTCCAAGAATTTAATCTTTTGAATGTTTGAAACCCCATCCTTTCTAACTCTTGTTTCTTTAGGGAGTTGTCAAAGTTAAGTTGCTGTGGTTCTCCTAGGGGGGAGAAGGAAGAAGAAAAAAAATACTAAAAGCCAAGAATGCAATGCCTAAAAAAGCATTGTCCTAATAACACAGTTGGAGTCCTAGTGTGGCACTGTGGGTTAATGCACCAGACTGCAAAGCCATTTGAACTGCAAGGTCAGTGGTTCAAGCTCACCGGCTGCTCCTCAGAAGCCCTTTACAGGGTCGCTATGGGTTGGAACCGACTCGACAGCACTTAACAACAACAACAATAACACAGTTAGTGCTTCTGTTCTATGTCTGAGATCCTTGCATTGTGCCTGGAAGTCTCAAAAACTTGTAAGCAGTCATCCAACGCACAATTGGTCTGTATTTGCCTAGAGCAACAGAAGAAGGAGTGGTCATGAATTGTTGCTGTTATGTGCCGTGGAGTTGGTTCCGACTCATAGTGACCCTGTACAGGGTTTCCAAGGCTGTAAATCTTTACGGGAGCAGAAAGCCTGATCTTTCTCCCGCAGAACAGCTGGTAGTTTTAAACTGCTGACTTTGCGGTTCTTAGCCTGATTCATAACCACTATGCTACCAGAATAGGAGGTTATAATTGAATGGATTATCATGAATAGGAGGTTATAATTGCCTCCATGAAAAGTGACCTTCTTTGTCATGAGAACAGAGGAACTGGATGGTGCCCTGCTATCATAACTGAACATTTTGATCAAAGATTCTAAAGATGAATCCTAATCAAAAGGGGAAAATGCAGAGCAGAATTTCACATTTTCATGGACTCCAGACTTCCTGAAGCCATGAAGGTTGACTGAATCCCTGAAATTTTTTCCCTGAGATACTCTTTAAACCTTAAACTTAAAAATATCCCCTTTGTTGTTAAGTGCCGTCCTGTGGATTCCTACTCAGAGCAACCCTGACCTTGCAGTTCAAACCAACCTTTCAGTCCAGTGCTTAGCATACAGAACATCACCAGGACTCCTTGTTGGTGCTGTTGAGTGCTGTCTAGTTGATTCCAACTCATGGTAACCCTATTTAGGGTTTCCGGAAATCAGCTGGTGGGTTTGAACTGCTGACCAGTCCAATGCTGATCCTACAGCACCACACCAGGAATTCTTGTTGTTAAGTGCCGTCAAGTTGGTTCCGACCCCTGGTGACCCTGTATAGTGTTTCCTTAGAATGTACTAACTGTATGTAGCAGTGTTTTTCTAAGTGTGGTCCCTAGAGCAGCACCAACATGCACTCGAAATTAGTTTCCTTATTTATATTTGAAATATTTTAATGTTTAGATATTTTTATCTCCTTCGTACTAAAGTAGTACACATGGTTAATGGGCTTGACTACTGACCAAAAGGTTGGTGGTTCAAGTCTATTCTCAGAAAAAATGCCTAGTGAAGTACTTCAGAAAAATCAGCTTTTGAAACACTTCTGGAGCACAATTCTACTCTAGGGCATTATGAGTCAGAGTCTACTCTGACAACTAGTTGTTGGTTAATTCTAAAGTATTCGTGAATGTAAGTATAGAGCAAGACTACAGTCGAATTTTTTTAAACTTACTTCTTTACAATATGTAAATGGTCTTTAGCATTTCTGAAAGGCACATGTGGTAGAACTGCTTAAAGTAAGCAGAAATAATCAAGTATCACGGCTCGGAGAATGGCTACAGGGTACTTGTGGTTCATTGATGGCTGGCTTGCTGTCTTCCCCCTTAACAAATTTAGCAACCCTTTAGGTTGGTGCCCTGGGCAGCTGGCCTTTCACACCCTCCTCTCCACCCCCAGCCTTTGGAACAGGAGTACAATTCTGCTAATGTATTTAGACAAAGGCATCATTTTATTCAGCTCTTATTAATAGCAGCAAGTGTTGGAGACTTTGTAGACTGAACCCTGTGGGGAGAAAAAGTCAGAGAAAGGGTGTGGATTTAAGCACTATGCCACCTCATCAAGCCATTTTTACACTTTCTTTTCATAAGACTCAAAATAGACAATGGAAAAAACACCAACTCCAACTTTCTGATTGGAAATGAAACACTGATTCGAGGGTTCACTTGTGAAGTTTATGTTCAGATAAAGTAACATCAAAATCACACAAGCCTCTAGCTATTGTCACTTAATTGCCCTTTGTTTATTGCCAGCTGATCAGATTTAGGGTTGTTGTTGTTGTTGTTGTTTTCAATTTAAGTAATCATATGACATCTAACCTTCCTGTTTTAAGAAAAGGTTTGGCCAATGCATTTAAACTTCAATGTTTTCATCTAGGTTACGTGAATTACCTTGATATTTTCCTGATAATAAAATTAACCAAAAATTCAGAGTATTGTCTGATTACTTCAGAAACAATTACCAAGCTGTAACTGGGATGATCACCAAACGACATATAAGGAACTTAGGTGCCAACTTGTCTCTATGCTAAACAATAATTTTAGTATCTCTTCTGTGCCGACAGTGTGCAAAATGAGGAGAAAGGAAAGAAATAAGAGTGGTGTGAAAGCACATCTGCTATTTAGCTCATGGGATTAACTGCTGAGAATGGATTTAAAAAAACAAAAACAGGGCCATTGAGTAGATTCTGACTCATAACGATACTAAGAAGTGAAGTAGAATGGCCCCAGAGGATTTCTACGACTGTAGTCTTTATAGACGCAGACAGCCATATCTATACCCCTCAGAACGACTTGTTGAGTCAGTTCCAACTCATAGCAACTCTGTATAGGGTTTCCAAGGAGTAGCTGGTGAATTTGAACTGTTGACCTTGTACTTCAAACCAACCTGTAGCCCAGTGCTTATCCTACAGCACCACACCAGGACTCCAGACGACTGGTGGGTTCTAATCACTGACCTTTTGGTTAGCAGCCAAGTGCTTAATCACTGTGGTAACACCAGAGTTCCTTTGAAAATGGAATCTGATTGTAAAATCACCCGTGGGCATTCTATTATATCTTGGATTGTGTCTTTGAAGTTTTCTGCAAAACTCAGGGAAAATAAAAGATAAAGGAAACAGTCTTTACCTTTTGACTGTTTCAGACATCCTCCAACCTTTTTACCAATTCTGATACCATTTTTCTCTCTCATGACGTTCTCTACTTATCTGCTAGGTTGGACAGTTCATTGCAATGGCCCCAGAGAACTCAGAAACACTACTCAGGAATATAGGATTCATCAGAGAAGTAACAGGTTACAATTTAGGATCAGGAAGGGTTCAGGATACAATCAAGACAATCTCTTCTCAGCTGTGCCCACAAACATGCCTATCCTTGGCCCTTGTCCTCTTGGCCCTGTGGACCTGAAGCCTGTACCCTGCATAGGGCAAATGTTACAAAGCTCTTTTAAGTCTGCAAAAAATTACCCAGAGGCATCTCAGCCAGTAAGAATGGGCCCAAAGACTGGGAGCTCTAGCTATAATGAGAACTCCACCAAGTGCATAGAAGCACTCCTCTGTCAGCAAGTCTTCTGCCTGAAGGCACTCATATGTCTCATTGCATGGACCAGGAAGCCACATGTCAACCTCTTGTATGATATAGTTAAAGTTCTCTGTCAACTTGATTGAGTCAGGATTCCCAGTTGTTTGGTAGTGGACAGTTAACTCTATGATGATTGACTGACTATGAGCAAGCATAGTTAACCTCTAGGATGTATTGGCTACAAGCAATCAATTGAAAGAATGGTTGCTTGGGGGTGTGGCCTGCTCCCATTATAATGGATATGGTGGATTTGGATTTTGCATCTAGGTCATCCTCCAAACTTTGGTTCTTTGAACCTGAGCCAGTAGACTGCTCTATTGTGTTTTTGCTTGTTGGGCCTGCCTGCCTAGTGTGCCTGGAAAACCGGAGGGCCCTGCATGCCTGTTCCTGTTGCCCCAGCCCATGTGCTCTGTGCCATCCGCTCTGCAGTACGCCCGCCCAGCCTTGGTTGTCCATCACCCTGCTTCCACCCTTGCTCCAGCACCAAGGTCTTGCTTGTGCTCCAACGCGGGATTCCTGCCTTCCGGGCCCGCCCACCGATCTTGGTTCACCTGGACTGAATTTGGGACTATCCCATCTCTACAACTGTGAGCCATTTCCTTAATATAAACTTCTCTTTATATATATGTATCTATAAGTTGCACTGACTTTGCGTCTCTAGAGAACCCAGGATCTAGAGAACATGTTAGCTGTGCTGTCTGTGCTGCAGCCATTACTCTACCGCTGCTTCTTACCAGGTCTCACCACCCCCATCGCCACAGCTCTTTGTCTCCTGGATTGAGATGTTTCTCAGCAGTGGTCTCCACAACTGGTTCTTCTTTCTTGGCTGTCATGGGATCTCTTTTTGCCTCTGGCATGGCTCATTTTAGTTTAACGGGATGACTAAACTGACCAATCTCCATGTTAATATTCCTTATTTGCATGGCTCCACTCCCAGAAGGGGGTCCTAGTGTGGTACTGTGGGCTAATGCACTGGAGTGCAAAGTCAGTTTGAACCATAAGGTCTCAGGTTCAAACTCACCAGCTGATTCTTGCAAACCCTATACAGAGTCGCAATGAGTTGGAACTGACTCGATGGCACTTAATAACAACAGCCTAATGATACTGATGTAGTGCTATAGTGTAAACACTGAACTGCATGCAAAGTCTGTTTGAACTGCAAGGCTGGTGGTTCAAACTCACCAATTGCCTACAGAAACCCTATACAGGGTCACTATTATTTGGAACTGACTCAACGGCAGTTAGCAACAACAACAGCCTAGTTGGTTCTTTGTAGTCCTGGTGTGGTGCTGTTGGTTAATGTGCTGGACTGCAAAGTCAGTTTAAATTGCAAGGTCAGTGGTTCAAGCCTTACCAGCTATTCCTCGGAAACCCTGTACAGGGTCACTATGCGTCAGAACTGACTCAACAGCACTTAACAACTCCCACAAGGGTGTCATGCACCTTATTTATGTTATCAACAAGCTATCCATAGTCTCAGTGGGCCACAAACACCTCACATTGCATAGTAGTTCAAACTCACCAGCCTCTTCTCAAAAACCCTATACAGGGTTTCAATGAGTTGGAACCAACTTGATAGCACTCAACAGGAAGTTAGAAAGACGATAGTTAGAAAAGCCATATTATGTCATTCACAGCACTGCAGAAATATAATGGGCTTTTAAATCGCTTCTGTTGGTTGTAGACAGTAACAAACATCACCCTCAGAAGCTGAAACATGAACTTCATTCTTCATTTTTAACTGTTTTCTGATTACTTGGATTATTCTACTAGTTCGTCAGATCTGTTGAGCTAACGTTAAAATTACACCTTTTATAGTTCAAAAGGAGTCCTGGTATGGTATTCTAAGATAAGTACTGGAGTGCTAACCAAAAGTCTGGTGGTTCAAACCTACCAGTCGCTCCTCAGAAAACTTATACAGGGTCACTATGAGTCCAAACAAACTCCATGGCACGTAACAACAACAACATACTTCAAAAATACATGAATATTCAATGTAAATAAGTAATTATGAAAATATTGGTAGAATTTACATACAGAAAGCAGAATACAGTGGAAGCAATGCCTGAGTTTATCTTGCGAGAGGAATATAAACTAATCAGTTAAAAAAGGATTAAAATGCTGGGCCCTGAGAGGAACCAAAAGATAATACCCAGGGATATTGATCACAGGGAATTAAAAATATTTTCTATCCACAAAGGATCTTTACATTGTCATTGTTCAGTGCCATCGAGTCAGTTCCAACTCATAGAGACCCTATGAACAACAGAATGAAACACTGCCCACTCTTGTACTATCCCCAAAACCATTGCTATGCTTGAGCCCATTTTTTTGCAGTTACTGTATAAATTCATGTTATTGGGGATCTTCCTCTTCTGCGCTGACCCTCTCTACTTTGCCAAGCAGTAAAGACTGGCCCCTCCTGAGAGGATATCCAAAGTATATGAGACAATGTCTTGCCATCCTCACTTCTCTGAAATATTCTGGCTATATTTTTTCCATAAAAAAGTTTTTATGGAAGTCCATGGTAATTTCAATGTTCCTCATTACTACCATAATTCAAGTACATCAACTCTTTTCCAGTCTTTCATATTCATTGTCCAACTTTCACACGCATATGTTGCTGTTAAGTGCCTTGAAGTCAGTTGTGACTCATAGAGACTTTGTATAGGGTTTCCAAGGAGCAGCTGGTTGATTTGAACCACCATCTTGTGGTTCAAATCAACCTTGCAGTCTAGTGCTTATCCTACAGTGCCACAAAAGGATTCCACATGTATATGTTGTTGTTGTTATGTGCTGTGGAGTCGGTTCCGACTCATAGCAACCCTATACAGGGTTTCCGAGGCTGTAAATCTTTATGGGAGCAGAAAGCCTCATCTTTCTCCTGTAGAACAGCTGGTGGTTTCAAACTGCTGACCCTGAGGTTCACAGCCCGATTCGTAACCACTATGCTAACAGAGCTCCTACATGTATATGAAGCAATTGAAAATACCATGGCTTGGGTCAGGCACATTTTAGTCCTCAAATTATATTTTTATTCTTTAACACTTTAAAGAGGTCTTTTGCAACAGATTTGCCCAATACGTCATTTGATTTCTTTACTGTTGCTTCCACAGATGTTGATTGTGGATCCAAATAAAGTTAAAAATCCTTGACAACTTCAATCTTTTCTCTTTGTATCTTGATGTTGGTTTGGTTGTGAGGATTTTTGTGTTTTTTTACATTGAAGTGTAATCCGTACTGAAAACTGTAGTTTTTAATCCTTATCAATAAATGCTTCACGTCGTCTTCACTTCAACATGTCAGGTTGTGTCTTCTGTATATCACAGGTTATTAATGAGTCTTCCTCCAAATGTGATGCCACATTCTTCATGTAGTACAATTTCTTGGATTATTTGCTCAGCATACAGATTAAATAAGTATAGTGAAAGGATACACTTAAGACACACACTTTTCCTGATTTTAAACCATGCAGTATCCCTTTGTTTTGTTTGAACAACTTACTCTTGTTCTAGGTAAAGGTTTTGCTTGAGCACAATTAAATGTTCTGGAATTCCTATTCTTTACAAGGTTATCTAACATTTGGTAGGTTCCACACAGTCAAATGTCTTTGCATAATCCATAAAACACAGGTATAGTTCCTTTAAATAAGATTGATTGTACATTTTATTATAAAAATCTACAAAATGTAGATTTAAAAAAAAATAAAACTATTGATTAAGACAAAACATCATAAACATAAACAATGAACATAAAATTAACAAGAAGCCCATCCCCATACAACACCAATATACATTTAAGCATGGTCTTACCCAGTGTGAACAGCACAGACATTTTAATCTCAGCACAAAGAAATAGCATTTATTGAATTCTATCATTGACCATCTCACATAATTATGTGAAGTCCTATTAGGCTGTTATTGTAATGACTTCCCCTTTATAGATGAGGAGTCTCTGAGTGCTACAGTCAGTGCTCTAGGCGGCTAATCAGACAGTTGGAGTTTCTAGTCTACTCAGAAGTGCCTTGAAAAAAAGTCCTAGTGATCTACTTCCAAAAAAACCATCCACCAATAACCCACTGAGCTGAGCAGAGTTCCACCTTGACACATGAGGTTGCCATGCATCAGAGTCAACAGGGCTGCATCTAATATGTTCTTCTGTAGATGAGGAATCTGAAGATGTGACAGATTTGACCTCCGATTTACACCCAGTTCTGAGTGACTCCTGAGATCACACTCCTCACCATGATGTGATTATAAGGCCTCGTCTTTATTACCTCTCTTATTGACTTAATTGTTCCTCCTCCAAAATATGTGTTGGAATCCCAAATCCTATACTCATAAATATATTCCTGTTTGGAAATAAGTTTTCTTTGTTAATGTAAGTGAAACCATATCCTTGTAAGATGTGTCCTAAACCTAGTCATTTCTGGGTTATAAAAAGAGCAGGCCAGAGACCCACAAACACACTAACAGGGAAAGACAGATGTCTGTGAACTTTGTCAAGGAACCAAGGAATGTCCTGGCTCCCTACAAGGAAGAACTCAACACAGCTGATTTAGATTTTCAGCTTCTAGAACTGCTGAGAAAATAAATTTCTGTTCTTTAAAGTCCCCCACTTGTGGTATTCCTGTTACAACACCATTAGGTAGTTAAGTCACCTTCCAAAGATAACCAATGGTATTCAAATATCCAAACATGTTTATTACAAAAGCGCATATGATATGGCAATGAATTTTTTGGCCCAGTTGTACAAGTGAATGCCTAGGTTCTCAAATCAGTCTTCCTTTTTTTTTTCACATTTGGCTCATTACAGTTTTTATGCCTTTACATATTATTTTTCCTCTGCATATTTCCCAGATTATTTTATTCAAACGGCCAAATATACATTTTGTGTTGATGCATTCAGTTTAATAGAAATGTTGCTATTGTTAAGAGTCGAGTCACTTTCGACTCATAGCGACACTGTATAGGGTTTCCAAAGAACAACTGGTGGGTTTGAACCACCAACTTTGCAGTTAGCATTCCCATGTTTATCCTACAACACCGCAAGCAGAAAGAAAAAAAAAAAGTTTTAGTTATTCGTTGTTTTGTTTTTTTTTAACTTTTATTTGCATTTTATTTTAAACTCAATTTACTCTGGAGTCATAGTCTTTGTTTCTTCTGTTTCTTCTGGGATATCTTTTTTTGTCTGTGCAACTTCCTCTTCTGGCTTAGGAAAAAAGTGTTCCTTTACAGTGAGGATCATCTTAATGTGGCTGGGGATGCTCGTGTAGGGATTGATCTATCCGTGAGCTCTGTACATGTGGCAGTGCATCTTAAGGGATTTGGTCACAAGATGTGCTCATGACCAGAGAATTCAAACGGAAACCCTTAAGTTTAACATTACGCTCTGCATTTTTAAGCACGTACAGCAAAAATTCAGCACTCTTTTGGGACCTCCAACCCTGTGAGCCACACCACTGTTTGGCCTGCACACACCTTACCAACTCCACCATTGTAACTTCAGAACAATAAACATTGCTTCAGAAACTTGATGGTTTTTCAGATATGCATATCCT